GGGACCCCTTTCACTTGGATAAAGCTGGGGAGAGCACTTTATTAACCGAAACGGAAATGCCGTCATTTAAAAAAGTTCTTAAGGAAAGGTAGTTTGCCGAAGGCCCTAAGGAGTGGGTTTGGGCTAAAAAAATTAAACCCCCAAGTTGGCCCAAAAAGCCTTCTCAAGGTCAAAAAATTGGGAAAATAACTGAGGGGTTTTCGCAAAGGCTTTCAAAAATCGATCCAAGCTAGTAAGGGGCCTTGATAGAACGTCCCTTACGAAACCCATATTCGAGTGGAGAGACGTTGTGTCCTAAAAAACCACCTAAACGTCTTTTTTACTAGGCTTCCATCATTTGCCCCCGCACGGTGACAATGGGACGAAGTGGGGAAAATTTAGTCCCGTATGCCGGGTTTTTGGGGAAAAGGGGAAAACAACGGCGGTTTTCCCCACAGCTGGGGAAAAGAATCCTTGTGACCAAATAAGATGTAAAGGAAAATAGGACGCAAGGGGACTGATGTAAATGTTTACATACAATATGAATTGCGGGCCCCAGCTGCCGATGATCGGCAAGCGAGAGTGTTGCCCCATTTTTTGAAGTGAAAAGGCACTTTATACTTTTCTACCGAAAAGAAAAGTCCAAGGTGCAAACCTCTGGCAGATTTTGGGGGAAAGAAATGGGGGCATGATGGACCCCTGAGAAATAAAACCCAATATTGCCAATTTCATTGGCAACATCTAGGGGGGTTTGTATATCAAACCGGAAACCCGCAGAAACAGGACCCGGGGTCAGGAAAAATATTTGCCCCGTTTTCGTACTTTTTTTCCAACTGCACTCTAGGGGGAAGTAGAGGTGATGGTGGAGCAAAACTCGCCAGCAAGTGCATTTGCGCACGGAAACAGGGCGAGCGATCGCACCTTCGCAAAATCAAGAAGTCTCTCTGTGGTTCATTGTCCGGGTACCTGCCCCAGCGCCCCTTTTCCAAGACTGCACGAGCCAAGCGGAACCCCCAAGGCACCCTTTCTGAAAATGCCTGCCCAAAAATTTGGGGTATAGAATGAGAAGCTGGGGTTTAAAAACGGAGGATAGAAGAGGGTAAAAGCTCATCGATGGAGGACAAAAAAGGAACCTCTCTAAAAACAGTTAGGTGTGAGAAAAGGTTTCCTTTGCCTGAAAAATTGCCAGTGTAGGAGCGAAGAGGTGGTAAATATAAGGGGAAGTAAAATGTTTGGGGAAATGATCGCTGTCTTTAAAGCCAAGAACAGACCAAGTAAAAGTTAATGGGCGGGGGAAAGAGCAGACGAGAGATCGACAAGAGAGAGGTGAGTCCGAGGACAAAAGGGGTGGAGTACCTGTATTTAAAACTGGAGGGGGTGGGTGGGAAAAAAAGCCCCTAAGAATGCCCCGGGAATTACGTGAGACCCCCCCAGAAAATGGGGGCATTTAAAAACACCAAGTAAACAACATGGTGGTAAAGACGAAACAAGAAAAGGGAATACCGGGAAAAAGATAATGCCCGAAAGGAAGAGATATAAAGAACAGAGCGATCCACCTATGCAAGTGGGTGCAGGCTGCTGTAATGCAGCAAGTACGAACAAATAGTGATGGTACGGAATATCAGTATAGAAGAAGGGCACTTTTTTAAAGTTCCCCCTCAGGGAAAAAGGGTCTGAAGAAAACATAAATTATAGCCGAGAGGGGGAGAAACACAGAGGTAATTTTGGTTCCTGAAACAAACCCCAACAGGGGAAAACGGGAGAGTAAATCGAAGCTCACCCCCATTACCCTGAGGCCCGTAATTCCACTTAAAAAAGCCCGATTTGGGAATGAAAAGATACCCAAATCCACAGGTAAGGGGGCCTCGGCAGGGGTTAGAAAAGTCCACATGCGGAGGGAGTGGAAAACTTCAAGCAGGAAGGAAAGTGTGCTGTAAAAAGGAGTTCGCAAATGGAGGGGGGGGATTTAAAAAAATGGAACGTAAGGACGACCAAGGTAGGGGGGGGGAAAAGGGGGAGGGGAAATGGAGAAGCAGGAAAAGGGGCAGAAAGGGAGAAAAACCCGGGAGGTGGAGAAGAGGAAAAACTTGGGGGAACAGAAGAGGAAGGCAGCAGGGGGTGAACCCTACACTTTTAACAAGCAGTGAGGGGGAACCCCCGGGAAAAGAGACAGGGAAGGAAAATGAGGAGGTGGGAAAATGGGTAGGAGGTGTTAACAACCTTTTTTTGACTTTTTGAAGTAGAGGGTATTGGAAGGTTCATACAGATCTCGCGCTTCTGAGGTTTGTGGAGAGAACACAAGAACAAAATCAGACTGGACGTTAAGTGGACGCTGGCCGAGGACAGCAAAAGAAAAAACTACAGGTGACATGGGGGAGGTAACCCCCAGAGGTTGGGTGAGATGGGAACCAAAGTGGGGGACGTTTTTAAACACGGGAAAAAAAACAGAGGGATTTCCCCTTTAAGGCGGAGATGAGAAACTGCCCGGGAAAGGGAGCCTGCCCCTTTTGAGGTAACGGATTTTCCCGCTGTTTAAAAGATTTACAACGGCGAGATACGAAGGGGACCCATGACAATTAAGGGAAGAGGGAGGTCGTTAAAAACGATTAAATGGTCCGGCACCACAAATGGGCATTTGGCGAAGTCCAAAAAATTTTTTTTGATGGCCCAAACCCCAATTTTTTCACTGTTCGGGTAGGGGCACCTTTCAAATTTTAACCGTGTCCTGCTACAAAAACTGAGGGTGGGGGTTCCGGCTGTCAAAAGTTAAAAGGCCACGTTCTAGGTATCGTCTCCGCCCGTGGGGAGGAAGAACGAAGGTCTACCTTGAGATTGGGAATCTTGGAAAATTTCCCCTTTCAAGATGTCAGTCCCCAAAGTCTGGAAATTTTGTTGAAAAATGGTATGGGGGGAAAGACGGTCCCTAAAGAATTGAGGGAATGGCTTTTAATATTTCAGGAACAGTTCGTAGGGAAAAACGAGAAAGCCATGAGCTGGGTAGCTTCTGTCGGTGACGTGGTACCCTCTTTAAAAGCATGAAAAAAATTTTTACCAACATGGCGTAGGATGCCTTGCCAATCTGTGGTCAGAAAGATAGGCAGTAGAGGAAGTCGGTCGTAAAGGAAGAATTTAGCCCAAATGTGCAGTCTGAAACTGAGCGTGGAAAGGTAGTAAAGGGACGTGTCGATCTTTTCTGAGAAAAACGAGAAGGTGGAGCAGTATCACAGCGGGTAATTGTCTTTGGGTCGTTTAGGCGTGGGACCGGGTTTGGGTCCGACGTGGAACAGGCAGGCGATTCGAAAATTACCGCACCGTAGAGGGAGAGCCGGAAGCATAGTCAAAGGAGAGCGAAGGTCAGATAAATCGAAGGAGTCAGTCGAGGCCTCAGAAACCTGAAGCGGGTGAGGAAACAGCACCGGGCAAGAGGTACAGAGGCATGAGGGAGTGTTCGAAGAGTGATCCAAAGACGAGGGGGGGTCAGAACTGGGTGCGGTATCAAGAAGGGGCCCGGGGGTAGCGGGTTAAATGGACTAGGGCTGCCATGGTTAGGTTACTTCTTTCTTTTTTTTTAAGAAAAAAAAAGAAAGAAAAGAAAATAAAAATAAAAAAAAAAATAAAAAAGGGGGGCCCCCGGGGAGGGATAGTTCCTAGGAGGAAGAAAGGGCCGGGAAATCTCCCTCCACGCCCAAGAGGACCTCAGGACCGCAAGTAGCGGAGATGCAGCATGGAACCCGTGCCATAACCCTACCCATCATGCCAGTAAACCGGCAATCCGGAATAGCAACCTCACATTTGCCGAGCTACCTCGGTGGACAAAAGAGAGGGCGGCCGGAAATCCGCCACAAAGCATACCTCCTTCGGCCACCCCCCCGGAATCCGAAAGGTGGCTTCCAGAGATACACCCGTCGCCCGAGAGACCACCCAAAGCCACCCTCCGGGGTACCGGAGAGGGATCAGGGCATCCCCCGGCAATCCAGATTCCACGGCAAACTATGCCACCGCCAAGAACCTCAACAGAATGGGATGGACCCCGGTACTCTTTCCCCTACCTAGGAACTAGCGTGCCTGTGGGAAAAAAAAAAAAAAAAAAAAAAAAAAGGAAGGGCAAAAGGGAGGGGTGGGGAGGAGGAGGAGGAAAGGAAAAAGGGGAGGATGGGGAGGATGGGATAGGGAACGGGGGATTGGGGGGTAATTAGGTTCGGTCTGAGGAAGTAGACTGACAGGTCTAATTCCTCAGACCAAGAGCCTCTTCACCACGCCAAGGAGCCCCCCTTGAAGAGGATGACATACACCAGCACCCACAATTTAAGGTAAGAAATACTATTATTTCTGTTGCATTTGTAGTCTTAAGCAGTAAAAACATAATATATCATAACAATGAACTACAATTACACATTCACATTTATTTTTGTAAGATCTGTTGGTATAAAAAACAGTTGTTCAGCATTTTGGGGGCTCCTAGGAACGTAACCCTATTTTTCCCTTAAGTTCTTCGGTGTATCTAAAACAGATTTACCTAACATGGCATTTTCAGGAAAGTAACTGCCATGTAATATAATGATCTACTGTATAACCAAAAACTACATTGTGAAACTCTGTGTAGTCTGCACCCACAGCAACAAATGGGCTTCTGCCTGAATTATGTACAACTTTTGTAGGAAATGATCTCATGCATCATGTATGGACATTCATGTTTGTTTTGTTTCCCATGGTCTGAATGATCTGTATCTTCTTGTTCCCTTTAGGTGGTGCACCTGACAATATGTATTGAGAATTGTCTCCCCTGGACTGATGAGCAACACATTTCAGGGTGAAAGAAATTGCAGGAAGGAGAGTTGTATTCTCCTGTTGTCATGTGGGCACGGCATTTTCTGGAATGGTCAAAATTTGCAATCTCACCAGTTATTCTAGATATTCCATGCCTGCAGATACCCAAGACATAGAATTTGCATAGGTTTGATTTCTCTTTGCCATGTTTTTTTCATATCTGCATTCCCTACTGGTGCTTTGTTTTGACTCACCGCTATCTACAGCACCTGTACTATCAATGGTGCCTCCACCAATTTTTACTGGTAGTGCATCTAAACTATTCCTCAGAGCATCATTTCCCTTGTTTGCCATTTCCAGTGGTATTGCTATTTCGTAACTCTGGAGTTTGCATATTTTGTCTATACCTTTTTTCCCAGCACCAGAACCTCTGTCCCCCTCCAGTCCAATGGCTTTTATTTCTTTACTCTTACCAGTACTGTCTGCCAAGACAGCACCAGCACCAGGGGTGACAGCACCATCTGGCCCACCTATTTTATCTTCCCAACTTATATAAGCCTGTCAGGTTTTCTAAGAAGGCAGTTTTGATATTTGTCTTATAGTACAGATGTAAAGTTTTTCCCATAGGTGGCTACCAGTGGGCATACCTAATAACATTTTCCTGATTTAATATTCTTAGTGGATGATTGTGTGTTTTACTAAATAAGATTTTTCTGAAAACTTTTTAACACTGAACATTAATATTGTTTCACTCCAGTATGAGTTCTCAGGTGTCTTACTAAACTTGATTTTTAATTAAAATTTTCGACTTTCTGAACACTGATATCTAACTGTTTGTTTTTCTCTCTAGTATGAATTTTCATGTGAGTTACTAAATTACCTTTTAAAGAAAAGTTTTTCAGACATTCTGGACAATGATATGGTTTTTCTCCAGTATGAGTTCTCATGTGTTTTACTAAACATGATTTTTGAGAAAACTTTTTCAAACATTCTGAACACTGATATGATTTCTCCCCAGTATGAGTTCTGATATGACATATTAAATTTTGTTTTTCAGAAAAGTTTTTCAGACATTCTGGACACTGATATGGTTTCTCTCCAGTATGAGTTTTCATATGTCTTGTTAAACGTGATTTTTCAGGAAACTTTTTCTGACATTCTGGACACTGAAATGGTTTCTCTCCAGTATGAGTTCTCATGTGTCTTACTAAACATGATTTATCAGGAAAGTTTTTCAGACATTCTGAACACTCAAAAGGTTTCTCTCCAGTATGAATTCTTATGTGACTTTCTAAACCCGATTTCTGATTAAACCTTTTCGGACATTCTGAACACTGAAATGGTTTCTCTCCAGTATGAATTCTCAAGTGTCTTTCTAAACTTACTTTTTCAGAAAAGTGTTTGAGACATTCTGGACACTGAAATGGTTTCTCTCCTGTATGAATTCTCAAGTGTCTTTCTAAACTTAATTTTTCAGAAAAGTGTTTAGGACATTCTGGGCACTGATATGGTTTCTTTCCAGTATGAGTTCTCATGTGACTTTTTAAAGTTGATTTTTTAGAAAATGCTTTTAGACACACTGAACACCGAAGTGTTTTTTCTATAATAAATTTGGTCAATGATACACACTGAGGTTGTTGCGAGGAAGATTGTTTGAGCGAGTGTGAATGTTGATCTAACTGGTCTCCTACATGAACAACTGCACATTGTGTTGCTTCAACACATTGTTTTACATGTGAATGTTGATTTAGTTGGTCTCCTACATGAACAACTGTACATTGTGTTGCTTCATCACATTGTTTTTCAAGTATATTAGACATACTGAACAATATTATTCTCGCATATTAAATTGCTTATCCAGAGGAAATTTTGAGAATATTTTATTACAATGAAAACTAATATTTCTGCAATATTCTATTATTATATATATAAGAAGCACTAAACTAGAAAGGGTAATATAGTGTGTGAGGAATAGGAAGGGTACACTAGCAGATATTTCAGTGTTTATGACAATAACCTTATAACATTTTTGTTGGCATTGTACATGTTGTATTACCAACAATATTGTTACGTACAGTGTTGTTCAGTCACTCGGTTGGTAACACACTCATCTCACACACTGAGATTTGTGGTTCAATCCTCAGTACAAGTAGAAACATTGGATCGTCTTTCTTTAAGACACTTGCTGTCCATGTTCACCTAGCAGTAAGTAGGCACCTGGGAGTTAGTCAACTGGTGAGGGTTGCATCCAGGGGACAAAATTAGCCTAATTTACCTGAAATGCTCTGCATAACCAGGGTTTTCCATACAGTATGTCAATGATGTCAGCTATGACCTGTCTGAAGAAAAAGTCAGTAAACTGGGCATATGGTAGTTTGGACTCCGAGGGACTGTTACAATGTGTTGCTGCCTGCTCTGCCATCTAGCTGGCCACTGTGAAACTACAGATTTCTTTGGGTCTAATTTCTTTAGTTTCTACTCCTGGTAATTATTAATCTTATCTGATATTGGTGGGAGTCTGGGAAATCACTTCACCTCCACTCTTCTCTTTATCAGGTAAGAGCAATCTACCAGGAACATTGTTTCATTTATTTTGTATTTAACCTGGTTACCAGTAATGATAATGAAATGCAATTACCACTGTCTTCCTTCACTGTTATACTTAATAACCATCTTGTAACCAGTGTTTTTTTCTCATTATCAGTTCTGCTGCTGGCTTGGTCACCAACAGTAGATGCCAGATATCTTGGAGTTAGAACCCAGGCAACAGGACTTAGTGGAACATAAAAGATTCCTCCTCTCTCCTTTCATATCTGGTGTGAGATACTACAAACCAGTATCAGCAGAAGCTTCTGAACATCAGACTAGCACTGCCTACCTAGAATAATTAACATCTTATCTTCATTACATCTTAAGATCTGCTAGACTACAATAAGTCTCGTGTCTCAAGATCTCACAAGAACCAATGGTGGCCCTTTTTTATGTAATTAAATGCTTTTAATTTTTCCATTATTATCTTTCCTGGAATTACTCATTATTTATTTTTCCATACTTCTGATGAGGTGGAAAGTGTTCCCCTGACAGTCTGTATAAGTTGTATCATGTACTTGTACAAATAAGGATTATAATAATAGTAAATATCATACTGTATTATGAACACTACTGTTGCTGTATTAATTACACTGTAGTGTTAACACTGTTGTTAACACTGTAGTTAAGTGTTGTCACTATATATGCATTACGTTATTTACAGCTCTTACATGAAATTTCTAACACTGATGTTGACACTACAAGTTCCAACCTCTGATGTCAGGAAGACCTGCAATATTGACAGTACAAGTGCCAGACTCTGGTGTCAGGATGACCTGCAGTACTGACACTACAAGTGCCAGACTCTGGTGTCAGGATAACCTGCAGAATTGACACTACAAGTGCCAGACTCTGGTGTCAGGATAACCTGCAATATTGACACTACAAGTGCCAGACTCTGGTGTCAGGATAACCTGCAATATTGACAGTACAAGTGCCAGACTCTGGTGTCAGGATGACCTGCAGTACTGACACTACAAGTGCCAGACTCTGGTGTCAGGATAACCTGCAGAATTGACATTACAAGTGCCAGACTCTGGTGTCAGGATAACCTGCAATATTGACACTACAAGTGCCAGACTCTGGTGTCAGGATAACCTGCAATATTGACACTACAAGTGCCAGACTCTGGTGTCAGGATGACCTGCAAAAATAATTGAAAAATTAAAATCTATTATTATTTATTATTATCATTATTATACAGTATTCAGTAAATGTGTGACACCAGTATAGGTGAGAGATCACTACAAGGCTGAGGGAAACTATCAATAATAGGAAATTCAGTAAAGTCAGAGTTTAACACAGCTCACTTTAACAAAGTGGAAATATTCAACAAAAATCTCTGCAACAATTAATTCTGACACAACAAACTTGCAAGATTATACAGTTGTTTATTGTGTACAATCAATACACACACTCTCATCTTTGTCCACCACAATTACCATTAATGGCCATCTGCTCCCCCATAATAGTTTGTTAAATTGAAGGTTACTGTGATAAATTAACTTATGAATTAACAAAGAAAGTCAGACTTGACCTAATAAGTCAGCTTCAGTTAAAATGTCATAGTGTCTATCTGCACTTAACCCTTTCACTGTCTAGACACCTAAAATGAAACTTGCTCATCGTGCAAAAGTCCCCTACCTAGGAAAAAAAAAAAATACAGTGGACCCACAGTTTTCGTGTTTAATCCGTTCCAGAGCCATCAGCCAAAACCGAAACCATTTTACCCATAAGAAATATTGTAAATGGAATTAATCCGTCTCAGACATCCAGAAGTATCAACAAAAAAAAATTTTTACCTTAAAGATAGATTTACATGCCCAAAAGAATGAACAATACACATGACACTTACCTTTATTGAAGGCTGTTGTTGATGGATGGAAGACAGGGAAGAGGGAAGAGAGGTTATTGTTTGGAAGGGGAATCCCCCCCTCCATAAGGACTCTAGGTACCAAGTCCTTATCAGGAGTCACTTCCCTAGCTTAAATAGAGATTTACATGCAGAAAAGAATGACAAATAAATGTAAAGCACTAATAAAATATATAAATGAACATTTAACATCACACTTACCTTTATTGAAGACTTGTTGATGTGAGGGACAGGAGGCGAGTTTATTGTTGGAGAATATGAACTAATATCAACTCTATGGCTTATCTATCTATCACAATTCAATTAATATGACATAATTAACAATATTAACCCCTTCAGGGTCCAAGGCCAAAATCTGAAGTGGTGCTCCAGTGTCCAAGAAATTTTGAAAAAAAAAAAAAAAAAAATTATTTTTTCTTACAGAATTAAAGAGTATATTTTTGTGAAGGTAATAAGACAAAAAAAAAAAAAATTCTGATCAGTACTTACCGAGATACAGCGGTGGGAAGTTGACCCAAAATGACCGGGTGGCAGCAACATCAGTGACTTCCGCAAAATCCCATTTTATTTTATGTTTTTATACTTTTTTCTTTTCTTTTCTAATTTTTTTCTTTTTCTAATAACATTTGTGGCCTGTGAGACCAGTATAATGTATATTGTATTAGTGTACACTCATTGTATTCAACACAATAATGCACTAATTTGTTTATCATTATATTGTTTACAAAACTTGTTTACAAGTTTATTGTAAACAAAATGATGAAAATATTAGTGCCGTTATTGTGTTGAATACAACGGTACCATATGGTACAATGGTGCCATAGGGTGCAATGGTACCATATGGTGCAATGGTACCATATGGTACAATGGTACCATATGATACAATGGTACCATATGATACAATGGTACCATATGGTACAATATGGTACAATGGCACATGATACAATGGTACCATATGGTACAATGGTGCCATAGGGTGCAATGGTACCATAGGGTGCAATGGTACCATAGGTGCAATGGTACCATATGGCACAATGGCATCATATGATACAATGGTACCATATGGTACAATATAGCAAAATGGCACATGATACAATGGTACCATATGGTAGAATGGCACCATTTGGTACAATGGTACCATATGGTGCAATGGTACCTTATGGTACAATATGGTGTAATGGTACCATATGGTACCATATGATGCAATGGTACCATATGGTACATTGTACCATACAGTACAATGATACCATATGGTTCATTGTACCATATGGTACTGTTGTATTCAACACAAACACACTAATATTTTCATTATTATTTTGTTTACAATAGTTGTTTACAACAAAAATATGCAAAAATGTATATTAGTAATGTTCTATTACATATTTACAAGTGTACAGGAACTTTACGTGTTCCTTGAGGTGGATGACAAAGCACTTTGTCTGGGAAACTGCAGAGTCAGTAGCTAGCTTGTGTCGCCACTCACTCAGTCTTGGCTGGTGTCTCATGCCACCAACACCTATTGACCATATGGAACACGGTATATGTTACAGGGTACCATATGGTACATTGTACTATATGGTAAAGGGTACCATGCAGTACAGGATAACATATGGTGCAGGGTACCATATGGTACAGGGTACCATATGGTACAGGGTACCATATGGTACAAGGTACCATATGGTACAGGGTACCATATGCTGCTATGTATGATAATCTATGTAATTGTATTTCTGTACACCTGAATAAACTTACTCAAGTGCATGTGGCATCATAAGTAAGCTTATTTAGTTATACACAAATAAAGTTACATAGAATATCATACTTAGCAGCATATGTTTGGAGAACCTAGGATAACCCAAAAAAGTCAGACAGATTATTTCCATTAGGGTCCCTGTACCCTGTACCTATGGTACAATGTACTATATGGTACAATGTACTATAGGTACAATGTACATATGTACCATGTACCATATGGTACCATATGATACATGTATGACATGGCACCATTGTACCATATCGTACCATGTACCATATGGCACAATGGTACCATATGGTTCAAAACCATAGAATTCGTCTTCAGCTCCACTTCCATCAGTCTTAGAACTGTAAGTTGTGAAGAGGAGAGTCAGAATTCGCCCGGAGAGTGAGTGGGGAGTGAGAGCTTCCTTGCCGCCAGGCACTATGAACAAAGCTACTTTGCCGGCGTTCCCACAATGCCATGTGGGTGTCCAGATTTTTTCTATGGTGTGCACACTGACCACCCAGACCCATTCTCTTAGATGTAGGCCTACCAGCCTTCTCGTGCTAAATTTGACGGCGCTAGAATTTTGGCGTAGATCTACGGTTTGGACCCTGAACGTAAAGCTGTGGATCTACGGGACGGACCCTGAAAGGGTTAATAACATAAAAACATGACATATACTCTAGAATGAATAAAATAAGTTATTATGTATATCACGACTGGTGCTGTGTTGTTGTTGTTGTTGTTGGGTGTACAAGGGACACTGAGAGCATCAGCCGTCCATAATGGTGGTGAAGGCTGCAGCTGAGGTGCCGGTATTTTCTGTAGCCCCATGTAACTCCATCAATATTGGAGGAGTTAGTAGAATCACTGAAGAAGGCACCCTCTACCACCATCACTACCACCCTCTACCACTATCACAACTGCTACCACCCTCTACCACCATCACTACCACCCCCTACCACCACCACTTTTGTATTTTTCTACAAACTTTTTCTTGAATTGTATCATGTTTCTCACATTCTTTACCAAAGGGATGGCATTAGAAGCTTTCTTTTGGCCCATGGATGCTTATTTAGCAGTCACACACAATAAACAAGTACCAAAAACAATGGATTATTTTGAAATGTTTCGTATGACCTGGCAGGATATGTTCACTCACCGAAAAACAACCTACACTGGCTGAGAATACATGTGGGAGGCAGCATTGTCTGTGCGCTGGGCACTGGACAGGTTCTGAACAATCAACGAAAACAAAGATAATCGACGAAAATTGAAGCCAAAAATTGATGAAAAGATTGGGCCCAAACCAAAATCAGCAATAACGGAGATTGACGAAAATGGAGGGTCCACTGTAATCTTCTATGGTAGAAAATCTCTTTCCAAAGTTAATTACACCAAAAGTATGTAATTTGATGGAAAACCTATGGAATTACACTGGCTCAGCATTAGCAGTCTTGGCACAATTTATGCAGTGGCAAGTTTGCCCACCTTGAGTCCCATTTTCGGCCAATTCCATTGTTCCAGTCGAGCAAATTCTTAGTTATTTCACTAGTGCAGGTGCTCCTCATTTTACAATGGTTCAACTTACAATATTTTCACTTAACAATAATACAACAGTCATGCACATTCCTGGCAATGGCAAGCCATACTCTCAGTCTCTATAGCGATTGTAACCATAAACATCTTCATTTACTTTCTGATACTGGTATTTAGTTACAGTAATTATTTACTTACTTATTCAGTCAATACATGCACTTTTCATATCATCTGCATCATCTGTGCTCAAATGCAAACATGCCAGAGACAATGTTTTAATACAGACTGAGAGGGAAGACACGAACTGAAGCTGTACATGAGAGGCTCTCCCAGTGTTTACATACCCTCTGCTTATCTTCTTTTGCATAATACATGTTAAAAAATTAAAGGAACTTGAAAGTAATATGTATATAATACCTACTTCATATACACTTGTGTAACATTTTTCTAGTACACTCATATTTTGTAATAAAGAAACTATGATGTTTGTGAGGGTGTTGATGTGGTGGTGGTGTTAAAGGCTACTAATGCTCAAGCATCCCACCCACTGTCTCCTAAACTATTTTTGTTGAAAATGCAAGAAAAATTTTAATTTTGTATTAATACGTACTAAATACAAGTTTAATTCATTCTGTGACCCAGCTCGTAACTCAATTTGCTCGTATGTCAAATCAATTTTCCTTATTGAAATTGAAATGCCATTAATCCATTCCAGCCCCAAAAAAACCACCCCAATTTTTTTTTGTTACGGGTTTTTAACCCTTTGACTGTTTTTGTCGTATATATACGTCTTACGAGCCAGTGTTTTTGACATGTTAATACTACAAAATTCTAGCGGCTTCAAATCAAGTGGGAGAATGGGTCTGTGTGCTCAGTGTGCACAGTATGAAATATCCTGCTTCACACACCATGCATAATGAGAAAAAAACTCCAACAGTGTTTTTGGATTATAACGCCGAATTTGAGGTGTATTTTCGTATAGTATTTATGGTTGTACAGTGGAACCTCAAATATTGAACTTTCTTCGGTCCAGAAGGCTGTTCGAGTGCCTTTACCGAATTAATTTATTCCCATCAGGAAATAATGTAAATTAGATTAGTCCATTTCAGACCCTCAAAAATACACATATAAAAGCACTTACAAAAATACACTTACATAATTGGTCGTGTTGGGAGCAGTTCGATTTTTGAGGTTCCACTGTATTCTCATTTCCTTGGTCTCATTTGAGAGAATGGAAGATATATTACAGAAATAGAGATGATTCTGATTGGTTTCACGATGAAAAGGACCTTGAAATTGAGCTCAAAAGAGCGAAAAATGTTCGATTTTTGCTGATGTTCAAGATTAAATAAATGACAACACCATCCAATATGTGTCCAACTGGCCAGTCTAATATGCAGTCATGAATGGGTTGACATTATTTATACAATTATTATAATAATGCAGTAATCTGCATAACAGTAAATCTTCTATTTTTTGTGTGAATAAAAATTTAAAATATTAAGTAAGAGTAATATAAGAGGGGCCTGGAGATGTTACTAATGAACAGAGAAAATGTTATTTTAGTGCCAGAAATGTCTGCATTGTTTATTCTGGACCCTATTTTGAAACTGGCATGTTTTTTAATTTGTGTGAAATTGGCCAAATTGCCAATTTCTGACCATTTTATTGGGTAGTTGAAAATGGTAAATGGGCAGTTTTTTGTACTCAAACGATAGAACAAACGGAGTTCTAAAGAAATAGCTATGAATTTGGTTGACTAGAACAATGTAATTGGCCAAAAATAGGGCTCAAAGTAGCCAAAATCGCCAATTCGTATATATCTCCAAAAACGCTAACTTCGCAAGAGTGTATTTCCGTAAGTTTTCCATCAAATTTCATACTTTTAGTGTCATTACCATCAAGAAAAGATTCTCTATCATTTCATAAGGAATTTTTTTTTCTTCGAATATTTTGCAACACAGAGAGACACTTCAGGATTTGGGGTTGTGTTAGTCAAAGGGTTAACCCTTTCAGGGTCCGTCCCGTAGATCTATGGCTTTACGTTCAGGGTCCAAACCGAGATCTATGCCATGAGCTCAGCTCACTCTGATGAACTGTGAGTGGTACATTTGGGCCTAGATATGAGAGAATACATCTATGTGGTATGTGTGCACCACATAAAACAAATCCTGCAGCACAAACCATACCCCGGCCGGGATTGAACCCGCGGTCAGAGTCTCAAAACTCCAGCCCGTCGCGTTAGCCACTAGACGAGCTAGCCACAATAAGATTCGTCCAACTAGGTATATTTCTACACCATAGGAAGGTTAGCACAGGCACCACTGTGACGATTTCGTGAGTCCTGCAGCACACTGTGTATAATGAGAGAAAAAAACTGAGACCATGATTTTCAATTAAAACAGCGACTGCAGTGTTTTCTCGTGTGTTTTTTATAGTTGTATTTGCAATTTCTTGGTCTCATTTGATAGAATGGAAGACATATTACAGAAATAGAAACGATTTTGACTGGTTTTAGCACTGGAAATGGCTTGAAACTGAGCTCAAAGTAGCGGAAATGTTAAATTTTTACCGATGTTCAAGAGTAAACAAACAACCTCACAAGTCTAATACACGCCAGCTGGTGGGTCTAATATACATTCACAAATGTGGTGATGATATTTATACAATTATTACAATATTGCATAAGAGTAAATCTTCTGTTTTTTGGTGTGAATAAAAATTCATTGTGAATAAAAAATCAAAATGGAATTTATTTGTAAAAGCCTCAAAACATAACTAATGAACAGAGGAAATGTAAGTTTAGTGCCAGGAATACCTACATTGTTTATTCTGGACCCTATTTTGAAATTGGAATATTTTGAACTTTGTGTTAAATAGGCCAAATTACCAATTTCCGATCACTTTATTTTGTAGTTGAAACAGTTGACTTGGCGATTTCTTGTGCTCAATCGATAGAATAAGAGTAATACTAGTGAAATAGCTAAGAATTTGGTCGACTGGAATAATGTAATTGGCCTAAAATGGGAGTCAAAGTCTGCAAAATCGCCAATTCGTAAATATCGCTGACATCAAAATTCACGAGAGCATAATTTCGTCAATTTTCCATCAAATTTCGTACTTTTTGTTTTATTACTTTCACAAAAAGATTCTCTACCATTTCATAAGAAAAAATAACAATTTTTTTTTTTTTAAATTCTTGGACACTGGGGCACCACTTCGGATTTTGGCCTTGGGTCCTGAAGGGGTTAAATAAGAAAAATATATTTATATATAAGAAATAATTTTTACCTTTTTTGCCAGGTCCAAGTATGTTTTAGACATGCTGAAGTACATATGAAACTCCTTGAAGCACAGTGTAAGATGAACATCATTCCACTGCTGACAGTGTAGCAGTGGTGACATTTAATGTTTGTACACTGACGATCTGTTGGAGTGTGAGCAGGGTAATATTTAGTGAAGGGATTCAGGGAAACTGGTTATTTTCATATAGTCGGACTTGAGTCTTGGAAATGGGAAGTACAATGCCTGCACTTTAAAGGGGGGGTTTGGGTTTTGGCATTTTGGGAGGGATAGTTGTGTATCTTTTTACGATATGCTTCTAAACTTTGTATTCTGAACCTCTGAAAAACAGTGATAAGTGTGAGGTGGTAAAGGTTGATGATGAAAGTATTTTTCTTTTGGGGATTTTTTTTTTTTTTTGGGCCCCCCTGCCTCGGTGGGAGACGGTGACTTTTGAAAAAAAAAAAAAAAAAAAAAAAACACTGCCTTGGCTTGGCAATTCAAGAGGATTAAATAAGAAGTTAAAAGTGTGGCTCACATAAAACCCCTCAATTATTTTTGTAACTTAAACTTTTTCCACTAACTCCTCACTAAAAATGTCAAAACTGGAATGCCTCATTTTCAACTCTGACAATTCTTATTTTACTCATTGAAGCCTATTTTTTCCCAAAAAATATCAAAAAAAATTTCCCAAGTTTGGAGGATAAAGGTTTTAGTTTATGGGCCCTAACCCTAGGCCCTAGAGAAGTGTTTTCCTTTATAAGAGAAATCAAAAGCCCCTTTTTATGACCCAATAAAATTTGTTAAACTTTTTTCTTAAAATAATGAATTAAAAAAAATAATCATAAATAACTGTAAAAACCTTTGGCCTATGGCAGGGGTTCTGTTTTCATGATGTTGATCTTGAAAATTTTGCTTACTATTGTTTGACAAGTGTGACCTAGTGTAATATGAAAAAATTTAGTATAAACAGAGAAAGCTGAGGCACTATAGTGAAAAGCTTTTTTCACAAGGCACAGTACCCCACCCCATCCTGTTCCTCATCCTAATATTTGACAGGAGAGAGATGTAAGCCACAGCACCATGTTTTCCTTTGCAATGAAGGGCCTCCTTTGAAGACACGCAGACTCCAGAGGACATAAACCAAACTTTAAATGAGCTGAGAAAACACTGTAAAGTTCAATGATGAAAAATTTTTCAATTAGGGCCTTTTTCTTGGTTTCCCCTTTTATGGGCCTTTAAATTCGATTTTGGACGAGCAACCCCCCCCCCCCCGCACCACTTGTGTCAGTCTGGTTTGTCTCTGGGCAAGTGAGGAATCTTCTACTCACTCACCCAAACATTTCGCTTACCATTTTTTTTGGGGTTATTTTTTAGTGCAACTCAAAATAAGCAATAACCCCAAAATAAATTCCTAGAAAAGTGAGAAACTGATGGAATTTAAGAAAGGGTTTTGAAAAGTTGAGAGGAAGGAGGAAGAGAAGGGGGAAAGTGCCTTTTTCAGTGTTTTCAGCGATTCTACTTGGGTTGATAAAAGAAGCAGGAGTCAAAAAAGGGTATAGCGCCACCCGGTAAAGCTAGCATTAACGTGTGCAAGAAATTTAAGCGAGTAAGCGACAGAAAAAGAGACACAACACTTAACTCCTTCTATGTTGTTAGAGGTATTAGGGCTACTGAAAACCCCGCTGCCCTCCCTTCTTCTACCCCCCTAAACCAATGCCAGCATCTCCCAAGGGTACAGTAAGTGTAAATATTTTTTTTTTTAAAAAAGTGAAATATTTCTTATTTTAGTGTAAATTTTCTTTTTTAAAAAAATTTAAAGTGTAAAATAATTCTTATTTAAAAATTATTACATTGTTTGTGTGAAGGGTGGTGGTAGCTCTGTGCTGCCCATTACCATGGTTTAAGTTATGCTCTCAGGGGCCCTTATAAACCCAAAAAACCCCAAACCAACCCTAGCCAAAACATAATAATTATTCATTTAGAGTATTTTCATGTTTCTTTTACTAATTTTTTATTATGTTTTAGATGAATTTGATGAAAAATAAGCCGCGGGTTTAAAATCATACAAAAAACTCCCTCACGTTTTGCTATCCCAACAAGCCCTTTAAATAAAGGTAAAAGTGATTTAAATGTTCATTTATCCATTTATTAGTCATTTTGTTTATTTCTTATGTTTTTCTGTATGTAAAACTATGGCTAATTTGAAAAATACATTTTTTTTTAATTTTTTTCAGTGTCTGAAAGGAAATTGGATTGACTTAAATTTAGGGGGAATATAACGGTTCTGGGCCATTTTGCTTTTGGCCGCCCTTTTTCCGGAAACGGTTTACGTGAAAACCCGAGGCCACTGTACCTGACCAGGCAGCGGGGGTTAAAAGTCGGGGTTGAAGCACCAACAGTAAAAACCCGGTTATGGGGCCCGACCCCATGACCTGGTCACCAACCCGCCAGGGGGGGACGACCCAAAACCCATCTCCAGATAAATCCAGGAAATTACTTTTTCCCCTATTGTATCCCCTTTAATAGTAAGTTTTTTCACATAGTTAAGTTACCCCCCTTTTTTAAAGATATAAAAAAAAGTTATTAGAGGACCCCAATACTTTTTTTGGTTATCTTGGAGATAAAAAACACATAGTTGCTTTTATGAAATTTATGAAAACTGTATTTATATGAACCTAAATAAATTACAAGTTAATCAAAATATTTACCCTTTTGTTAAACAAATAAATATATGGGCCTATGAGGGCAAAATTATTTGCAGTGGGATTTTTACAACACAATAATAACATAATAGGTAAAAAAAGGGCCAACCCCGCAAACCGGTGCCTGGTGGCTAAAGCTCTCGCTTCACACAGGGTGGGGAAATTTTCTCCATGAGGGGGGTACAGCCCCCTTCACCCCCTTCAGCCCCTTTCACCCCCGGGGGGCCCACCCCTCTCAAAGGGGGCAAGCGTCTTGTTTATGCTACAGTGATAATTTGACAAAGAGCCGTACGAGTATCTGCTGGTCAAGTGACGATGCTCCTTGCACCCAGTGTTGCAAAGTGTATTTAATAAGGCAGTACATCTTTACTTTAGCGGGAAAATTTAAGGGAAAAACCCTGCTCCCACTTTATTACCTTGTAAAGAGAGGGGACTGTTGTCTACTTAAGCAGCAAGAAATAAAAATTCTGTTTTGCCCATCGGGAAAGTGGCAAGGAAGCAAAAGTACTGTCAGCTTTTTTTTTTCCGGGGGCATGACGGCGGGGGGTTTGTGGGTCTTCAGTTTAAATTTTGACTTACTGGAGTGACCTGGCGCCGGGATAACCAACAAAAACCTGATCGTGTTTTTAGTGGAAAAAATGTCTCAAAAAACACAATAAACACTTAAGAGGTGTGACAGTTCTTCAGTGATAACATTGTAAACAATAAAGCAAATCCTGGGGAACATAGTGTACCAGTTGCGTTTTTAGACAATGGAAGACGTGGACCCAAGGACACTTCAGTTTATAAAATCACCGTACCTGTCGAAGGTGTGAAGAACCATAGCTCCGTTACAAAGAAGGATGTTTAAATTTTTCTTTGGAAAGGGGGGACTGGCAGTTTTGAGTCGAAGGGAGTTTGTAATCGCCAAACCCGGCAAAAAGGTGTGGACTTTTGGTCCAAACAAAAATTTCAGCCATCAGTGAATAAATATGCTGACATAACCCCCCAGGGGAAATTTTAAAAAATCTTACAAATTATAAATCTTTACACCCCGTTAAAAGATGGCTTCAAAGCTTCTAGACTCGTCTGCGGGCGGCTGTGCGGCGATAGTTGTCTTTAAGTTAAGTTTTCCTTTTTAAATTTATGGTAACCTTTTCCCAAAAAACCGGGGGCCGGGGGTTCGTTTCCCCATGGGGGGAAAACATTTTGAGGGTGTTTCCTTAACCTGTTGTCATGTTACCTAGCAACAAATGGGTATCTGGGTGTTTCCCTTTCCGGGATTTTATTTTGGGGGGGTTTCGGGGGACAATGCCCCCACACCCGTTGAGACTAGGCCCCCATGGGCTCTTTATCAAGGTGTGGGGCGCATCCCGGGGGACAAGCAGAGGACTCCAATGGAAATAAGTTTGACAGTCCCCCGATGACACACTGACTTTTTGGGTTATCCTGGGGGGCTAACCCTCCGGGGGTAAAAATCCAAAGAAAAAATTTTATCTATTTATCTTAAAAATTTAAAAAAAACTAGATGATATTTTTTAAAAATTGTTAAAAAAAACCCCAAAAAAAAGGGCCCATGGACCAAATTTACCCCAGGGACACAATTAAATTTTTAATAGACAAAATTAAATTTAACGGTACCTGTAAATATATTTGGAAATATACAAGACGAAATTTTTATCTTTGGGGAAAGAAAAATTAGTTAGGCCTTGAGAAACCCAAATCACTTATAAACTCAAAAAAAACTCAAAATACAAGTATATAATAATAATAAGTGGGGCCGGAGAAAATTTTTAGTGTAAGGGTCACGGGAGTGAAGGTTAATTTTTCCTCAAAAAAGTAAAAAGTTAGGTCTAGAGTCATAAATAACTCACATCATTTCAAAATCAAAATTTTCCCCCTTTCACTCATCTTGGAGGGTCTTGCTGCCTTCAAAAACAAAATTTCTATAAACTTTGGAAAACATTTGTTGTTGTTTTTGTGGGTTTTCAGAGCCACTAAAAACGTCGCCGTATCGAACCCGTCTTCCAGTGCCCGGAATGAAACCTCGACCAAAGGGGAAGGAGGGTTTCGAACAACTGCGTTTAAATATCTCCAATGGGCCCGAAGCCAGCAAAAAGGCACAGGACAAGCCAGGGTTTCTTTCCCTCTGGAGGGTCAAACCCCCCCCCCTGGAAGGAGAGGGAAGGTCAATAATTGTATCCCCAAGGAAATGAAGGGCCCCCTGGAAAACTCCCTGACTTTTTTTGGGGATCTTTAAATCCCCTTTTCACAATGAAAAGAAATGCAAAGATGGCTAAAAACTTTCAAGGCTGTTGCTGGCTACAACCCAGTATGGGGCAATGTGAGAATCGTGGAAGTGTAATAGCCTATTTAGGGCCTTTAAATTTTTATGCTGCTCCCAGTTGAATTAAACAAAAAAGTTTTTTCTTGCCCCCCGCAGTTAATGCGAATAAAGCCTCAGAATTATTCTTGGCTGCCTTAAAACTACAAAGGGTCTTAATATGAGGAAGGCGCTTGGATTTTAGTACAGTGATAGGATTTTTGAGATTAAAACTGTACCGGTATTAAAAATGTTTGAAAAAACCAGACACTTCACAATGAAATCTTACGAAATGTCTAAAGTAAATACAACAACCAAATGGAGTGTGAAAATGTGAATTTCTTTTGTTTTATAACCCGCATGAAAAAGTACATGAATAACAAGTGCATTTCACCCCCTCCTTTTTAAGTGTGTTTTATTTAAAATCCCCATACTTGCAAGTCCCCCCAAAAAGCTCATTGCTAATCCCTTCCTTTAAAACACTTGTTAAAGCAACTGCTCAAGAAAAAATTTTGGCCTAGCTGGGAGTAATAAGTTTCCAAGTTTATACACTGAGGATCTAAAAAGGAGTCTTCTGCAGGGCGATCTGCTCTTGTTGCACCCAGCAGGGTTTCTGGGAGGGCTGCATCTTTTGTTTCCACCCCCCCTAGTTAAGAACCCATAATAAATTGTTAACTAGGCAAAGAATTGACAACTGGGTATTACACTGCAAATTATTTTTTGCAAACCTAAAAGGGTAAAGCTAACTTATGACAATGAGCTTTTATCTATCATCATTTCTAATTCTATGATCTGAAGGCTCTTGACCATAAAATGCTCCAAAAGCATGCTCATTGGGAACCCGGTATAAAATACTCAAAAACCCGGAAAAGGAAATTAATGTACAATTGCTGTGGGTCTCACACCATGGATTACTCCCTTTATGATAAAGTTTATATGTTACCCAAAAAGAGTACCCAGAAGGAGAATGTGAAATAACTTTGGTATACTGTGTTAGCATTAAAAAATTTAGAAGTAAAAAAATAAAAAAGATTGTTATAGGGAAAGCAGTTAAAGCCCGACTAAACCCCCTATGATAAAATGAACTAGGTGAACGGACAAGGTAAGGGAAAAACCCTTTAAACTGGCCAAAAAACAAAATTTCAGATCATTTTTTGGTATTTTAAATAGGGAAAACAGTGTTTTTTTTACTAACGTGAAAAAAAAGAGCTCCCAAAGAAAAAGCTGAGTCTCGTCGACGGACAATGGAATTTGGGCCAAATAGGGCCAAAGTGCCCAAATTGCCGAGCGAGCCGCTAACTTCGTGATTGTGTAATTTTCCCAAGTTTTCCGAAATTCTTTTTTTTTGGGTTTTTAAATTTCCCTTTACAAAATGCACGCAAGAACTCAAAAAAGATGTTTACAGCACACATTTAATCGAGTAGGGTGAACCCATTCTGTGGACTCTGGTTCCTTGATCCAAGATTGTCGGGCGACAACCCGACCCGTACGAAACCAAATGAATTTTTTGTTCGAAAACTAGTCGTTTGACAATGAGGTTCCCGTACTTGTAAAAGGGATCCTGCAATGTACAGTGGACAAATTTTTGGCAGTCAAAAATTAAGTGAGCTATATTGCAGGGGGAACGTCTCCGCCCGCTGGGAGGGAGGCAGGTGTCC